TTTTGTTCCAGAAACTAGAAACTAGACCAAAAATGACGTGTTTTTGTATTTTTTAAAATGAAATTAAGCACAAAGTGTCTTGCAAATGTTTTCACACCCTTTGAGCTTTTTCACGTTTTTTAGGTTTTGTATTTTAATATTAAATCAGATCCAGTGTGTAATTTAATCTCAGTACAAATCAATTTATTCTATTAATGCTTCAGAGGTTTGATAGGGAACACCAGTGAATAAAAAGAGAATGTTGTGGAGAAGGCTAAAATAGGTTTAGGTTATAAAATGTCCACAGCCCTGTTCCGTCCATCGTCTGGAAACAAAAAGCATAAACTACTCAACATTTCCCATTTTACTCCAACTTTGTTCTCTACACGCAAGTTAGAACGGCCTAGTCAAAGTTCATACTTGAAAGGGACTGTTTCTTCATGCCATTTCTGTATTCGTTTATGCAATTCAACTCTAAAACTTTCAGGTCCGTACAAAATCCTATTGCTTGGTGACAAAGAAAACTGACTTAGGCAAGTAATGGAATGTTAATAAAAGTATAGTGAAGAATTCATTTGTGTAATTTTTTTTCCTGCTCCTGTGACAGGCATTTCCTAAAGTATTTGGAAATTTTGTACTAATTGGAAGCGTAGAGTACAGATAATATGCCTCCAACTCTACTTAATATGTTGTGGTGTTGACAGAGGTTTATAAATCTTATCTATTCTCAATATCTCCCTTCCATATGGCCCAAAAGCAATATGCCGAGGTGTAATTAAAGAAAATGGGGAGATGTGAAGATAGCTGGGGCCCTCTCAGATACAGAGTGAGGGGTGAGGACAGACACGCTAAACCTCAGGGAATATTTGGCCCTGTTCATTTCAGCAGGGGCCACGCGCTTGCCACGGGTTCGCTATCAGTGACCTGGCCCCGAACCAGCCCACGAGAAGATGAAACACGGCTGAAAAAGATCAACAAAGAAAAAAAAAAAAGGCAGACGATGAGGCCAGAACAAAACCATATTACACTCATTAGGTTAAAACACAAACATTTGCAAGGTCAATTTGAATTCTGATGCTG